TTTAAATAACATAAGCAAAGAAAAGGAGGACAGCAATCCTAAGACCCAGGGTTAAGAAGAGATGTTAAATTAGCACAAAACACCAGTCCTGGGGGAAGGGGAAGGTTACCAAGGAAAAGTAGAGCCTAAGACTCAGCTCTCTCTCTATAAGCTATCTGTCTAGGGTTGGCTGCAACTTTCCTTTGTCTCAGGAGGCCCTGGACTTGATCTGTTAGTGAGTTACTTTCACGAGACTGCATTTCTCATTGGGGTATGAATTAAGTCACGTGAAGAATGATAAAGTAAGTCAAAGCTTAGACGTCAGGATAAACTTTCTTCAAGTGAGTGAAGTACTGTTGTGAAAAAGGCTTCTCAGGTGGCTCAGTGGTAAAGAATCCACCTGCCGATGCAGGAGACACAGGAGACCGGGGTTTGATCCCTGAGTTGGGAAGATCTCCTGGAGGAGGAAATGGCAACCCACTCCAGTATTCTTGCCTGGAAAAGTGCATGGACAGAGGAGACTGGCAGGCTACTACAGTCCATGGGGTCGCAACGAGTTGGACTTGATTGAGTGCGCGCACGCACACACACACACACATATACACACACACCCTGTCATGAAAAGGATGAGTTATTATCCATGGTCTCCCTGGCAATACTGAGGCCAGTGAGTGGACACTGCGGTCTGATGTTTTAGAATGGCTGTTGGATGGTCACGGCACTCACCATGCCCTTCTTCTGAGCTGAGCCCCACCAGAGGCTCCCCGTCTGACCAGGCGGCCTGTTTCTTTGCGGCCCAGTCATCCCCGTCACTGGGCAAACATCTCAACACTGGGCACGGGAAGCTCAAGACACTGAGCCCTAAGCTCCTGACAACTCACCTTGGAGGGAAAATCAATTAATATCTAAGAATCAGAACACCATGTGCCCAGTCTGTATGAAGGTGGCAAACCCAAAGAACAGCACGTGATAGTAATAACATGGCCTTCAAAGACCCAAAGGAGGTTTTTCTCAAAGCCGTCCTGTCTAAGCATCCCCCAACTAAGCCACAGCTATGGCGTGCAAGCTCCAGGTAGGGGGGTACTCGGCGTGCCAACACTGCAAGCTCTGAAAGAGAAGCAGAGACTCAGAGCTTCCGATGGGATCACTTCCGCTTCTCCCCTCCTCTCCCACCATCCTCTAAGTGCATGTGAAAGAGGGAACACTACAGCCCAATGCATTCAGGCCATGCCACTCACCAGCTCTCTTATGACCTTTTTTCTATTTCTTGGTGTGACTTTATTGTGCTTTGGTTTATTTTCATTTTCAAAAAGAATGCTATAAAGAAACATCAAATCTAAGTATGAAAAGCAACAAAAAAGAAGTTTCCAAAACTCAAACTTTATTCTTAATCAAGAAAAGAAAACTGGGCAGGCCCCTTTATTTCCCCCTCCCCTCCTTTTCTAAAAATAGAAGTTTTAGAAGCCTGAAGTTGTATATAAAGCAACAACTTCAAATGTACCCTTTAGGATACAGTAGTCATCAGATTTATTTTTGGAAAGCTGCGTAGGTCAAGAATACCTAGAATAACCTGGTTTCTATTTAAAATACCTTAATCGTTTTGTAATTTAGGAGAAAAAGATTATTTAAAGGGATTATTCACAATGTAGGCATCTCCCAATATGTATATCTCACATGGAGCTGGTGATAATTACCCTGAAGGACAGGGAAAAGAGACTGCTTTCCACAGACATGTGAAAATGTATCCAGGCCAGAGAAGAAATGAACAGATGCAACATCAAGATAGTACCCTCTCCTGACTCCAAGGAAAAGATGGCAACTGTGAAATGATTTCTTAAATCCCAACAAAATAAGAAAGTTAATTTTAAAGGGACATTTACATGCTGCAGACTTAAAAGGGCTTAACCAAAGGAATTTGACAGCCAAGATGAATTCCATTTTCAAGAGTTAGCCATGAGGATAAGCGGTTCTGGCCAAAGATGAGTAATGCACATTGGCTGAAATCAGATGCCAGGGTTCTAACTAGCAGGAGAGAAGCTTTTACGAGGCATTTTATTTCTACAACTGTTAAGAAGAGGGTCACTACAGAATTACTTAACACACAAATATTGCTTTCTATTTTGTTCCCAGGCACCATTGGGGAATGAAATGGTGATTTAAATGTGCCAGAAATCCACTATTTATAGGTATAGAACTCTGTCACAGGCTATGTTCTACTAGGAAAAAGAAAAAGGGATTTAAAGAAAAATCAGGAGTTTTGCCTTACTAGGAGCTTATGAGCAAAGAAGGAGGGGAAGTTAGTAATAAGCTTCAGGTTCTAAGCATGTCAGGGAGGGGCCGCCCCCTCTCGGCCCCTGATCAGAAGTGTTTGCTGTGCTGAACTGGACGACAGCGTAAGCTGAGGGCAGACAGACGAGAGTCACTGAAAGTATCCAGGAGGCACGGCCTCCACAATGGCCAAGGACTCGTGTGTGGTTTTGGTTCTGCAAGCTCTCTCCATCCCAGAGTCTTAATAAACTGTTTTCCGGGCCACTGTGGACATTTCTTCCTTGACTCAACTGGCATTTACTGATCATCTACAACTGTGTACGCCTCGGCTACAATTAACCAAAGTCGGCTACAAGTCACCAACATCGGCTACAACTCACTAATGTCGGTGACAAGTCACCAACGTCAGCTACTAGTCACCGAAGTCTACTGCAATTCACCAATGTTGGCTACAACTCACCAACGTTAGCCACAACTCACCAATGTCGGCTACAACTCACCAATGTTGGCTACAACTCACCAACGTCGGCCACAAGTCACCAATAATGGTGAAGTCACCAACGTCAGCTACTAGTCACCAATGTCTACTGCAATTCACTAATGTTGGCTACAACTCACCAATGTTAGCTATAACTCACCAATGTCAGCTACAACTCACCAATGTTGGCTACCACTCACCAGTGTCGGCTACAATTCACCAATGTCGTCTACAACTCACCAATGTCGGCTACAATTCACCAACGTCGGCTACAACTCACCAATGTCGGCTACAATTCACCAACATTGGCCACAACTCACCAATGTCAACTACAATTCACCAATGTCGGCTACAACTCACCAATGTTGGCTACAACTCACCAACGTCAGCCACAACTCACCAACGTCGGCTACAACTCACCAACGTCGGCCACAACTCACCAACGTCGGCCACAAGTCACCAATGATGGTGAAGTCACCAACGTCAGCTACTAGTCACCAATGTCTACTGCAATTCACCAATGTTGGCTACAACTCACCAATGTTAGCTATAACTCACCAATGTCAGCTACAACTCACCAATGTCGGCTACAATTCACCAATGTCGTCTACAACTCACCAATGTTGGCTACAATTCACCAACGTTGGCTACAACTCACCAATGTCAACTACAATTCACCAATGTCGGCTACAACTCACCAATGTCAGCTACAACTCACCAATATCAGCTACAATTCACCAATGTCAACTACAATTCACCAATGTCGGCTATAACTCAGCAATGTCGGCTACCAGTCACCAATGTCCAGACAAAAGAAACTGTCACACTTCGTGGGATGATTTCAACAATCCTACGATTGCTTCACTATTGTTCTAAGCTTGGGTTCTCTGTCAATATTAAGAGAGCAACATATCTACTGGAGCAAGAATCTGCCATGAGCCACCATGGGATCCTACAGTTCCACTCCTGGGCATATGTCCAGAGAAAATGATAATTCAAAAAGATACATGCACCCCAGTGTCAGGAGCAGCACTATGTACAATAGCCAAGACAGTGAAGCAACCTAAATGTTCATCAACAGAGGAGTGGATAAAGAAGATGTGGCACATCATATACAATGGAGTATTACCCAGCCATAAAAAAGGATGAAATAATGCCACTTGTAGCACCATGGATGAACCTAGAGATGATCATATGAAGTGAAGTAAGTCAGAGAAAGACAAACAACACAGGCTATCACTTATATGTGGAATCCAAAAAAACCACAAATGAACTTATTTACAAAACAGAAATAGACACATAGACATAGAAAACAAACTTATGATTACTAAAGCGGAAAGGAGGGAGAGGGACACATCAGGTGGTTGGGATTAACATATACAACTTGTTGTTGTTGTTCAGTTGCTAAGTGGTGTCCAACTCTTTGTGACCCCATGGACTGCAGCACAACAGACTCCTCTGTCCTCCACTATCTCCTGGAGTTTGCTCAAATTCATTTCCGTTGAGTTGGTGATGCTATCTAACCATCTCATCTGTATATAAAATAGAAAACCGACAAGGACCTACTGTACATACAGTCAGAGAACTATACTGAATATTTTGTGACAACCCATAAGGGCTTCCCAGGTGATGTACCAGTAAAGCATCTGCTTGCCAAGGCAGGAGACCCAGGTTCTATCCCTGGGTTGGGAAGATCACCTGGAGAAGGAAATAGCAACCTGCTCCACTATCTGTGCCTGGAAAATTCCAGGACAGAGGAGCCTGGCTGGCTACAGTTCATGGGATCGCAAAGAGTCCGACACAACTGAGCGACTGGGCACATACACACATAAAGGGAAAAGAATCTGATACATGTATATTTACATGTGTATGTAAAAAGAATAGATACATGTATACGTGTATTCTTCCCAGGTGGCGCTAGTGGCAAAGAGCCCGCCTGCCAATGCAGCAGACAGGGATTTGATCCCTGGGTCGGGAAGATTACTGTAGAAGGAAATGACAACCCACTCCAGTATTCTTCCCTGGAGAATCCCACAGACAGAGGAGCCTGGCAGGCTACAGTCCATGGGTCACAAAGAGACGGACACAACTGAAGCAACTTAGCGCGCACGCATGTGTATGAGTAACTGAAGCACTTTGCTGTACACCTGGGACTACCACAACCTTGTAAATCAACTGAACTTCGGCATTTTAGAAAAGAATACTTAAAATGAGAAAAAAGCAAAATGCACCACTGCCGAGCCCGCTGTCGCTCCCGTGCATCTGCAACGCGCACCTTTGGTAGGTCCTTTCCTGTTGAGCACGGCCTGCTGCTCCTCGGTGATGTTCAGCCTCCGAACCACATCGGCGAGAGCCGACTTGAGCAGCTGGATGTCGTCCTCCTGCATCTGGACTCGCTGCTCCAGGGAGGCGATGCGGTCTGTCACCTCCATGCTGCTGGCAGCAGAAGCGCTGTCATCTAGACCAAGGAAAAAAGTAACAAATTAGTCTCAACTGCTGCCCAGAGAAATCAGACCAACAGACACACACCGGCACGCTGCCATCACACCAAAATATTTAAAAACTAGAGACCATGGCTTCCCTTGTGGCTCAGTCGGTGAAGAATCTGCCTGCAGTGCAGGAGACCTGGCTTCAATCCTTGGGTCGGGAAGATCCCCTGGAGGAGGAAATGGCAACCCACTCCAATATTCTTGCCTGGAAAATCCCATGGACAGAGGAGCCTGGTGGGCTACAGTTCACGGTGTCACGAAGAATCAGACACAACTGAGCAACTAAACCACCATCAGCAGAGACCACAGCAGACTTGTGTGAAATCTTTTATTACAAGGGACTACAGTGCTTCATTCTGCTACTGTCTTTTCATTCTCTAGGTTTGTGCTTTTCATTTTTTTAAAACTGTGGTTTTAATTGCCATGATATTTTTGCATGGTATTAGAGAACCCTAGAAGTAGAGTGGATATTAGCATACGTCTAGTACAACTTCCCACACGTGGCGGAAATCTGCTGCCCAGCCTCTGGCTTTTGTTCCAATGATGCTACTGACAGGTCCATGCGATGATCACAGGGACACAGCACCCACCAGTCAAGACTTTAAAGGATCGGCTAATCTGACAAAGAGGCTTCCCAGGTGGCTCAGTGGTAAAGAATCTGCCTGCCAGGAGATGCAGGTTTGATCACTGGGTTGGGAAGATCCCCTTAGATGGAAATGAAAACTCACTCCAATATTCTTGCCTGGGAAATCCCATGGACAGAGGAGCCTGGCGGGCTGCAGTCCATGCGGTCACAAAGAGTCAGATAACACAACTTAGCATAAACAACAACAAACCTGACAAAGCAATCAGTTCAGTTCAGTCATTCAGTCATGTCTGACTCTTTGTGACCCCATGGACTGCAACACGCCAGGCTTGCCTGTCCATCACCAACTTCTGGTGCTTGCTCAAACTCATGTCCATTGAGTCGGTGATGCCATCCAACCACCTCATCCTCTGTCACCCACTTCTCCTCCTGCCTTCAATCTTTCCCAGCATCAGGGTCTTTTCCAATGAGTCAGCTCTTCACATCAGGTGCCCAAAGTATTGGAGCTTCAGCTTCAGCATCAGTTCTCCCAATGAATATTCAGGACTGATTTCCTTCACGATGGACTGGCTGAATCTCCTTGCAGTCCAAGGGACTCTCAAGAATCTTCTCCAACACCACAGTTCAAAAGCATCAATTCTTCAGTGCTCAGCTTTCTTTATGGTCCAACTCTCACATCCATACATAACTACTGGAAAAACCATAGCTTTGACTATATGGACCTTTGTCGGCAAAGTAACGTCTCTGCTTTCTAACATGCTGTCAAGGTTGGTCACAGCTTTTTTTCCAAGGAGCAAGCAACTTTTAACTTCATGGCTGCGGTTACCATCTGCAGTGACTTTGGAGCCCAAGAAAACAAAGTCTCTCACTGTTTCCACTGTTTCCCGTCTGTTTGCCATGAGGTGATGGGACTGGATGCCATGATCTTAATTTTTTGATCGTTGAGTTTTAAGCCAGCTTTTTCACTCTCCTCTTTCATTTTCATCAAGAGACTCTTCAGTTCCTCCTTGCTTTCTGCCATAAGGGTGGCGTCATCTGCATATCTGAGGTTATTGATATTTCTCCCGGCAATCTTGATTCCAGCTTGTGCTTCATTCAGCCCAGCGTTTTGCATGATGTACTCTGCATGTAAGTTAAATAAGCAGGGTGACAACATACAGCCTTGACGACAGGAGTGCCCAAATCTGTTCGCAAACATACGCTTACAGCTAGAGTCACCACAGTTCTGTCTAGAATCGCTAACTCTTAATTCCTTAGCAAGGTCCATCAGGGCCCTCCATGGTTCACTTGGCCTCTCCAACTCATCCTGCGCCCTTCTTCCCTTCTGAGTTCCAGTCAAACTATCCTTTCTCTCTTACTTTAAGGATTTGTATTTGCTGTTGCCTTTGCCTGAAACATTTCTCAATCAGGTTTTTTCATGACCAAGTTCTGTTCTTTCAGTCTCAATCCAAATGGGAGTTTTTCAGAGAATCTGGCTAATAACCTTCCCTAAAGTTGTTCTTTTCAGCCACATTCACCTTGTTTCTTTTCTTTTTTTTCTGGACATGCCATGCCCTGCTGACTCAGCTGGTAAAGAATCCAAGACCCGGGTTTGATCCCTGGGTTGGGAAGATCCCCTGGAGAATGGAAAGGCTACCCACTCTAGTATTCTGGCCTAGAGAATTTCATGGATGGTATAGTCCATGGGGGTTGCAAAGAGTTGGACACAACTGATTGACTTTCACTTTATGTACAGAGGAGCCTGGTAAGCTTCAGTCCACAGGGTCACAAAGAATGGGATACGAATGAAATGACTTAGCACACTTGCACGCAGTTTGCAGATGGTAGTTCCCCGATCAGGGATCAAACTTGCAGCAGAAGCATGCAATTTTTTATCACTGGACCGCCGAGGAAGTCACATCCATCTTATTTCTTTCTTTCATAGCATCATCAAGAACTATAATCACCTTGCTTGTTTGCTTACTGTTTATGTCTCCTAACTAACATGTAAGCATCATGAATCTCTTCTGCTTCTGGGTATGACGACTTCTCTTGGACAGCGTTCCCTGCAGAAAGGCACCGTTAAGCCTACAAATCATACAAATGACAGAAGAAGTACTGGAGCGTGGACACAAGCATACAGACTCCAGTGGGAGTTTGCACTCGCTTGGTGGAGGGCAGATGGGGAACTATAAAAAAACCCCAAACTCCCTTTTCTGAGATCTTTAGCCCCAGGCTAAGCAGTAAACACACAGGTGGGTGAGGACATACATGGAAAAACCTGCAGTCTTTTTGTCCTTAAAAAATAAAAAAATGAAGTCTGAGAACTGTGAACACTGGAGAGAGCAGGGAAATCCCCAAATGAAAAAAGCTAGAGGTGGGGGGGATCCTCAAACTCTGTCTCTTCATTTCTGATTGAATATCATGATACAAAACAGCACTGAAAAATTCATTAGACATTAGGGTTTGATTAATAACCCTAAGTCATTTCTAAGTCATAAAAAATCTGCTTATGAAAAGTGAAAGTCGCTCAGTCCTGTCTGATTCTTTGCGACCTCATGGACTATACAGTCCATAGAAATCTTCAGGCCACAATACTGGAGTGGGTAGCCTTTCCCTTCTCCAGGGGATCTTCCCAACCCAGGGATCGAACCCAGGTCTCCCACACATTGCAGGTAGATTCTTTACCAACTGAGCTATCAGGGAAGCCCCAAATCTGCTTATAGAATCATATTTTTTGGGTTGTCTGAGTGGATGGCAGCTTTGAGGAGGATGCCACATCCATCAGTGGGACCTGAACACACAGAATGTGCTGGCTGGCACAGTCCTGGACAGGAATAGGTCAGGCTCTATCGTTCAACCTTGTGTCTTATAATCAATATCATATAATCCAGCGTGTAAGACAGGCAGCTATAAGATTATATAGCTGCTGCTCCATATTATCAACATTTATGATGCAAAACAGCATTCCGGTGGCCTGTCTGTGCTATGTGCACGCATGCGTGCTAAGTGGCTTTAGTTGTGTCCAACTCTGTGTGACCCTATGGACTTCAGCCCGCCAGGCTCCTCTGTCCATGGAATTCTCCAGGCCAAAATACTGGAGTGGGTAGATGCACCCTTCTCCAGGGGATCTTCCCAACCCGGGGATCGAACTCAGGTCTCCCGCACTACCGGTGGATTCTTTACCATCCGAGCCAGCAGAGAAGCCCAAGAACCTCCATATCCGCCTTCAAATACAAGCGATTAAAAACTTAAATGTCTGATCTGCTTAAGAGGACCTCCATTTGTGAGACTGGCTGAAGTTCTCCCCAGGCCATACAGTCCCGGAGCTTATCAGATCCTGCCAGCACCACCGCTTTCACCTGCTGTGGAACGTCTTCTGCTCCTGCGAGCAATGACCCTTGAGATCAGACTGGGGCTTCCTGGCAGCAGTGGCAGCTGCCTGAAGTTCTTAACCTTGAGCACAGAAAAGGCCAGTGTTGTTCAAACGACTTACCATGCCAATTCAGCTGGGGCCAAGCTGATTAGCATAATGAGAAACAAAACCCCAAGCCCAGTTTAACCAACACAAACCATTCCCAACCTCTGTGCATGGCACAGGATGGGCGAGCACGTCTGAATTCCATCAAAGAAAACCTCATGAGATTGGGAATCCGTCCCACATGAAACCTTCACAGGTTATTTACTTAAGTAATTTTCATTCCAAGGCCTCTAAAGTTCGTCTACAGAGGTCATTAAAATGGTGTTAACAAGAGGGCAGCTTGATCAGTTTTCAAAGTTTTCGCATTCTTTCAAGCACCACTGCACTTTGGGGTGTGTTAAGGGAAGCTTGGAAAAAGATGATATTCTCTGTATTATTACCTCTTGAGTTTTTAACTAGAACTACTGGCTGTGGCACTGCTCACTTCCTCAGGAAGACCTGGGGGTCTATTTACACAGGGCGGGCAGGATGTCCCTTTATCTCAGTATCGGTAACGATCCCTCAGATGGTGATGATGCTGTGTGTGAGCGAGCGGACAGGATTTAACGTGAGGCAGGACCAGCCCCACAGTGGTGCGAGGACCTCAGGGCAGATGTCTCAGCTGGCCAGCTGCTTTAGAAGACACTGTGTCCTCTGCCAGCCACAGACCTTCCTGGGGCTACAAGTCCAGCCTCCTGGCATTCTGTCAAGGTCTGAACACAGTTCAGAAGACTGGTTCTTGGAAGAGATAATGGTCAGGGTTACCTGCACTGGACTGTCTGGGTCCTGGGGCTTCTGAGAGGACACTGACCTGGGATTCAAACTCAGCAGGGCTCAGCTCCTGGGTCTGGCACTTATGAACTGCGTGACCTTGGCCAACGACTTGACCCCTCCAGGAATAACACCATAACCTGTCTTCTGAAGTTCTTGTGAGGTCAGAGGTT